TTGTTTTAATACTGCCAGTGTTAGAACAAATATAACAGCATTTGTTTTAATACTGCCAGTGTTAGAACAAAGATAACAGTATTTGTTTTAACACAGCAAGTGTTAGAACAAAGATAACAGTATTTGTTTTAACACTGCCAGTGTTAGAACAAATATAATAATATTTGTTTTCACACTGTCAGTGTTAGAACAAAGATAACAGCATTTGTTTTAACACAAGTAATATAAAATAGTGATAATTTTTTTTTCTTTATATTTCTTTCTAAAACAGTGTACAACCATTGTTTGGAAGATGATTTGATCGGGGATACTTCAGGCCCTTTGAGGAGACTGCTGGTGTCTATGACTACTGTAAGTTGAATTTGTATTTTCTTAATTAAAAAAATTAACCTGAAATGCTTTGTTTCCATAAGTTTTATATCAGAAAAAGTATAGAAGACACCAAATTGTTCCCAGCAATAAATAATTTGTTTTGGAACTCCTTGGGTCTCAGGTATGGAACTTTGTTTGAAATTGTGATGTATCACAAAAATTAAATTAAATCATCTACAAAATAATTCCCAATATGGATTAATTTATTCTGGATCACATCGTATCGGAGATATTAAACTTTTTTATAACATCAAATAAAATTAGTTCATCCCAAAATATTTCACAATAGGGTATAGTTACATTGTTAGGGTTAGTAGCCTACATAGTTATCTATAGGGTATAGTTACATTGTTAGGGTAAGTAGCCTACATAGTTATCTATAGGGTATAGTTACATTGTCATGGTTAGTAGCTTACATAGTTATCTATAGGGTATAGTTACATTATTAGGGTTAGTAACCTACATAGTTATCTATAGGGTATAGTTACATTGTTAGGGTTAGTAGCTTACATAGTTATCTATAGGGTATAGTTACATTGTCATGGTTAGTAGCCTACATAGTTATCTATAGGGTATAGTTACATTGTTAGGGTTAGTAGCCTACATAGTTATCTATAGGGTATAGTTACATTGTCATGGTTAGTAGCCTACATAGTTATCTATAGGGTATAGTTACATTGTTAGGGTTAGTAGCCTACATAATTATCT